GAAGGTGGGATGGGGGGAGTATGAGAAAGAGACTGGCTTCTACCTGACTCCGGGGTATAAGGAGGAAACCACAGGCCAACTTGCAAAATTCTGCTACTATAGTCTACCTCAATAAAGTAGAGTTCTAATCTTCCTGTAGAGTCAGTTTCCTAATCCAGTGTACCTTGTAGGGTTGGCACATATATTGTATAGACTCAACCAATTGTGGTATATTCTGTAAATCCAGATTAAATAGGACTACCAGATCTTGGCTGCAAAAATCCAGATGACTCATAGATGGCAGCTAAGTGATGCAGAAAACTCTAATTCTTTTCTGCCATCTAGTGAACATGGGGATTTTCACAGCTCAGATCTAATAGCCCTAGATTAAGGAAACCATTACTTAGCATGACATGTGAATCCAGCTGGAGATAATGTCTGGTATTTCAGGCAAGTCTATATGAATCCAAGAAGGATCAGCTAATCACTTGAACAATATCTATTTATGAATAACTCACCAAATAAGTCTAAGCTTCATTTCCTATTCTGCCTTCTTCAACTGCTCTGCAATATTTCAGAATAGTTGGAAGAAGCTAGAAGCAGAAACATTTTGCTTTTAGACATAGGATGTCATGCTGATGGGAGTTTCTAAATACTTTTCCCTGATCTCTGTATTAAATTCAGCTTTATTAGATTCTTTTGATAAAGATCTACTTTAATACTGCATACAAGCTGGTTTACCAGCTGACACATAATCTGTAATTACTCCAGTAGTTTCAGAGTTATGGTCATTGGAAAGCTATATGAAGTAGCAGTTGGTGCATCAGAACATCCTTAGGTTGACATGAAAGTTCTATGAAATTTTGCCCTTGAAACGTGCCTTAAGGAACACCATGAATCCTTTCCTATCAATCATTAGAAATCTGTGAACAGTTTAAGAGCTATACCTTGATAAGGATGGTGGAACATGTCCAAGACAAATCTTTAATTAACAGCAGGTGCAACACCTGATTGACCTTGCTCAGGTGTTATGCTCAGAAGCTAAAAGACTTAGGCATGGTTAGTGTTCAGATGAAAACCTCCAGGGAATACCAGGGCTAATCTCTCCACAGTGACAGAAGACAAGAGTAAATAACAAAGGGGAAGGCAGGGAATTGACCAAAAAAATCACGATTGCTTTAGTTCATCTGCATGAATGACTGGCTTATTTAACAAACCATGGTTAAACAATGGCTTAGAGAAGTGAATAATGATCCACATTTTTGCAGCCCCTGGAGTGTACTTGGAGCACAATGTCAACAGTTGCTTGCACATTTTTGCATGTTCATCCTATTTTCAGGTGCAAAAGAGGTATAAAGCTTTTTAACCCACCTGTTTTGTATCTTAACTCCTACCTTTAATTGCCACACTCTGCTGCGCTTGAAGGCAAATAAAGAAAAAGTGCAGCTTTTAACCACAATAAAGCTGACCCCCTCTGCCTTTGGGTGAACATAAGTACTTTGGTAAGAACTCAGACACAGGTTAATAATTGACAAACCCCACATTCTTATTTTAAAAGTTAATCAAGTTAAATATTTAAATGTTTAACAAATTTAATCACTCTATGGATAGGAAATCACCATCTTTTTGATTTCTGACTCTGCATGAATCACCATATTTCTAGTTACAGACCAGAACTATCCTCTCTTTCCCACAAGGTATAACTTTAAAGATTGATGGTATCTGAGAAGCACTGGATGGCATCATTTCTTGCCAATAAAAAAAGTTTAAAAACATTTCTAAAGGTAGAAGTAGCAGGAATCAAACCTTGGTACATTCAAAGCATACGACCACAACATACAAGCAGCTGCAACAACAAACATCTAAACCCAATCACAGTGTTTCTCAACTTTAGCAATTTTAAGACGGGTGAACTTCAACTCCCAGAATTCTTCAGCCAGCCATGCTGGCTGGAGAATTCTGGGAGTTGAAGTCCACCCATCTTAAAGTTGCTAAGGTTGAGAAATACTATCCAAGCAGGAAAGTTGTGGTGTTAGGATTATATGCTGAATGAGTCCTGGTTTGTCTTGTATGCCTTAGGATGAGAGATACTTTCAAAATATTCAGCTTCATCGCTTGTTTCCATATGGAATTAAAGAATTGGTAGGGGTCATTGGTCAGTCCAAACTAAAACATGGCTTTCCATGGCTATCTAACTTTTGCATAACATATCCAGTGAAGGGAGCCCATTGGCTCTCTGCATAATTGTTTCCACTGTAGAATTGCTCTTACTGTTGGATTGTTTTTCCCCCAACGTTCAGTTGGAATCTGTTTTCCTGTAACTTAAATCCATGATTCCAAGATTCTGCACTCTGGGATGAGCCTAAAGCTGCATGATGTATGATTTATATCAGCCCAAAATTCTATCTTTAATCTTAGGGCTACCCAATCTGAGCTGCAGAAATCCAGATGACCGCTAGATAAGCAGCAAACTATTAGAATGCTTTGCATCTTTTTGCTACCATCTAGAGGTGGTCATCTGGATTTTTGCAGCCCAGATCTGGAGCCACCCCTCTCAACACTGATACACCAGAAAGAATTGATTCCCCGGTCTGATGAAGCAGCATTAAAGACTCTTCTACACACAGCAGAGCTCACTTTGCACAACTTGACACAGAATGGATGTTTCAGGAAGACATCTGTGTTTAAACTGCTCATAAGCTAAGAACATTAGAACAGCAATCAATCTTAAACCTTCTATCTCAAGCCCAGATTTGATGCAACGCCAAGACATTACACCTGTAATGAAAGGGTAGCAAATGTTTACACAACACTGTTTAACTTCAAACTAACAGTTACTTGCCTGGAAAGCAACAAGCTTCTATCCTTGAAGGAGCCTTTTGATGGCCTTTGCTGAAAAATGTATCTGGTTCTGCTTTTCAGTTGCATTGCATCATTTTCTTCAGAAGCTGCGACAGCTCCAAGAAAAGACCCATCAGAATAATGACATGCAGTTTCTACTTAACAGTATCAAGATCAGACATGCCCAAGACAGAAATATTGCTTTTTTATTACCAAGAGAAGTATATCAGAATCAAAGAAACTGCAGGAACAAGAAACTTCTGCTCAACATCCAGCACCCAAGATGTCTCCAGTTATCTGTTAAAATTTCAGTGATCATCCCTTTCATTTACAACAACAGAATCAGAAGGCTATCCTGAAAGAGCCCAGGAAAACAATATATTTTGCAGTGGTGGAAATATAGGGAAAACAGCAATTTTCTGGTAGGTTGCTCCAGAGTAGCACATAAAAAAAAATTAAGTGTTTATTATTTGAATATCATCTTTTTAAAATGCAGATAACTATCTGGAGGATTTAGGAAACAAAAAGAGATAGAAATCTAATTTTGCAGATTTTATTCCTCTTATTCCTGTGTCCTGCTTCTTTAAATATGCTCACAAAAGCATAATAGAACAACAGTGGGCTTGTAATCCAGGGCAAAATTGTGAATAATCTTGAAACATATGAAGCTAGAAAACGCCAGTATATTTAGCATATACATTGTAAGTGACTCAAACTGTTTCCTGCAGTAACAATATGCATCTTTTAGATATATTGTAAGGAAATATGGTGAATCCCCATACAGTGGTTAGGGAGGAAATGTGGATAAAATATTCATGATTAGATAGGTACTTGGGGCACAATATGCTGTCTTTCACATGGTTCATATACCAGTGCAACACACATTCCATCATTCCTCAAGATGACACATGGAGTATTTGACAACCAACGAAAATCAAGGCTGAGGTTTTTAACTCAACATAGTTTGCGTGATCAAATTAGGCTCACTGTATTTTACAATTTGATCTGTGATGCCACTGAGCAGTGGTCACCAGTGTCACTGAATAGTTAATATCTACTATTCATGAAAAAAATTTACTAGCACTATCATAGCTAAATTACTGCCCTGATCCTGCCAGTTAAGCACCTCAACTCCATAACAAATTGTTTTATAAATAAAACATAACAAATTGCTTTATAAATAAATAAACTAATTTAATTTCCATTTAAATTTAATTGAAACAAAATATAGTTAATACAATTCTCCTATCATTTAATAATTTTCTTCACTGGTCACCTTGAAAAATTACAATTTGGAATAGATATCTGGGGATGGCATCCATGGCTTTGGAGGATACACGCAGCTCCAAGGCCTGATGTGGGACACCTCTATATTCTTCTTGCACAATATTTCACTTCAGTAACTTCCAGAAATTCCCAGCAATGGCCATGCTGGCTGGGGAATTCTGGATGATGGTCCATACAACAGGAAGGCACCCGTATTGGGAAGCACTGCTCTAGCAGTATTGGGAATAATAGTTACATTTGCACTGGTAGAGCTGCCAATCGTAGGGTTAACAGTCCTACAGTTCATTGTTCTTACAGCAGAGCCCCTCCACCCCTTGCATTGCTCACTAATTGCAAAAGATTGGCTACTGAATGCCAAACCGACAACATAACTAAATCTATAGAACACTAGAATCATAAATGGATCATTGTCAAGATCGTTAGATGTTCTAATGCAGTGTTTCTCAACCTTGGGAACTTTAAGATGTGTGGACTTCAACTCCCAGAAT